TATGTATATATACACACACACATACATATTTATGGGCACAGCATGGCATTTTAGCAAACACATATACTGTATAATATAAGATCCAGGTGGTTGGCATGCTTTCCTGGAGTCTTCATGTTGGGAACATCTAAAATCCTTTCTACTAGCTGTTTTGAACTATTTATTACTTTTTGTCAACTGTAAAGTTGTTGCTCCACCATTCTAAGGACCATTAAAAATGATTCCTCCAGCTGGGCATGGTGGCACACCCCTATAATCCTAGCACTTGGAGCCTGAGGCAGGAGGATTGCCACCAGTTAGGGGCCAGCCTGGGCTACCCAGTGAGACCCTGTCTCAAAAAAAAAAAATTATTCCTTCTATTCAGCTGTACCCTGTGCCTGTTCACTGTCCTTTCTTAGTACACAAAAATGTTGAAGCTTTGTCTCTCCTCTCTTTCTCATTCTTGCTCCTGTTTTCTTGCTCTCCTTTATTTAATTTCGAGGGGGTGGTGGAACATAACGGTACTTAACCAAATGTTCAGCACAAGCACATGCTCATAGCAATGCACATTCCCCTGGCCATGAGACCTGGTGCCTTACTGCTTCATCAGAAACAGGATCCAGGGCTGGGGATTTAGCTCAGTGGCACCGTGCCTGCCTTGCAAGAGCAAGGTCCTGGCTTCGATCCACAGTACCACAAAAAAAAAAAAAAAAAAGAAAGAAAGAAACAGGATCATCCATAAGACTCTGTTTTTTTTCTCAAAGGGAATCAATTTACAGATTGACTCTTCTGTGAATGAGTTTTCCAGTAGACTTCTCTGGAACCAGTACAGAGTGTGCTACCTCTGTTATCCACATAACTGAGTAGTGGGGTGGATGCCAGGCAGACTCACTTAGAGGCCTGGTTCTCTAAATGTGTTAAATAGTCAAGTAATACTTATGCTGGGCATGGTGGTACACACCTGAACCCTGGTAAGCTGCAGAAGGAAGACTGCAAGTCAGTGCAAGACCCTGCCTCAGAAGAAAAAAGAGCTGGGGATGCAGCGCAGGACAGAGGCCCTGGGTTCAATCCCTAGACTATACAATAATCATAACAACAACAACAATAATAGTGAAAATACTTCATGTGAAATCCATGAAGTGTAGAGAATAAACATGCAAGTAAGTTTTTTTCTAACACAGCCTTTCGTGTGTGCATGTGCCTGGTGCTGGTGGACTGAACCCAGGGCCTTGGGCATGCTAGGCGCTGTTCTGGTGAGCTGTATTCCCAGTGCCAGCCTTTCTCTTTAACTACCCCTTGTAAGCGGTTGTGGATGGGAGGTGTTCTGCAATCACATCTTCACTGTGAGCAGAATCCACAGGTAATGGCTGTGCTTTGCCTTGATGATGCAGGCTTTTGGGGAGGGGCCTGTAACACCTGGGTATGTGGAGTGCTGAGCATATAGCCCTCGGAGCACTGGTTTACTTAACCAAACTCCCTGCACGGCAGTCCCTCAGCAGGTCTCCAGCGACAGGGAGGAGGATAACGAAGGAGAGGAGCAAATGGATAGAAAGCTGTGCAGGGGGTATGGAGGGCAGGTTCCCTGAGCAGCCTTCCATGATGCGCTGGTGCTCTCCTGTCTACGCTGTACAGCTCTGTCACCTAACTGGTGATGAAATTTCAGGCTGTCCCACCTTACTGCAGGTGAAAAGGTGCCTTTTGCGGCTCTAGGGTTCTTGGCAAGCTATTGATTCTAAGATGTTTTGGCCAGGGAAGGCCAAGCCTAAAAGAACAAGACTCTCACAGAGGTCCCTCTAAGGGGGAATGCAGGCAATGTTGACAGGAGTTATGTAAGTATCTGCTCAAGCTGCCTAGACAACGTTTCCTATTTGGTCTTGGCATTATAGCTTCCTGGGTCTACTTCTGTTTAGAACACTCAGTGTTCTCCAGGCCACTTGGTTTCTCTGGAACTCACTACACCCACAGGAGGAAAGATATGCCACAGCTCAGAGGAGAAACAGGATGGAGACTGCTCCAGTGTTCCCTACTGGACAGGCCACAGATGCGGGGTCCTCTTGGGTCCATCTGCTCCTTACATGGCTCTCGGCCTTAAGGTGTTGGGGTCCCCTCTGTGTACCTCCATGACAGTGAGCAGGGGACCAAGGCAGCTTCTGGATCATCCTACTGAGCAGATGAAGCCCAACTAGAAGGCAGACAGATATAAGAAGAAAGCCACAGAATTGTCATTCAAGCTGGGCTTTAAGGGCTGGGGATTTAGCTCAATGGTGCCGCCACTTGCCTCTCAAGTGCAAGGTCCCAAGTTTGATCCCTGGTACCAAAAACAAAACAAGCTGGGCTTTAAGCAAAAAGGGAATACTGTCAGTCATGAGGCCAGCACAGCAGTCCCAGCTGACCCCAAAGCTGGGTCACTGAAGGATAGATGCGCCTCTTCAAGCTATGCTTGCCCTCCTGGCACCTCACAGAACCCGGGCCAACCATGTCCATGCCTCCACGAAGCATCTGACTTTATCTCCAAGTGTCTCTTTCCCAATCTCCTGTGACATCCTGGGCCTGACCTGCCTCCCACTGCTAGCACCAGGGAAGAGCCCCATGCCTGTCAGTGTCCTGCATGAGTTGTGCACACCCTGACTGGGCTGGATAGCCACGAGGCTCAGATCTCCCTAGAAAGGGCAGCAGCAGTTCAGAGGCCCGTAGGGCATTGCTACCATGTTGGTCCAGACTGCAAGGCCAGATGGTGGCCAGCACCTCCAAAGTAACTTTCCCCTCTTCCCTCCACTGTCATCCTGAAGCCACAGCACCAAGGGCTCAGCCTTCACTCACCAGGTCAACACCTGGAACCCCTTTCACTTCTGCATAAGTCCTTCTGTCTTGGGAGACCAGCAGGTCCCACTTGAGCAACCAAGGGGGCCACCTCCTCCCTGGGTGGAGCCAGAGTTTAAACCTTCCAGAACCTATACCTTTGTGGGCAAGCTTTCTGAGTTTGTTTCATTTTTTGTGTGTGTGTTTCAAGTTTTGTCTTGAAACACAAAAAACCTATTGCCACTGTCATCCTTGCCGAACATTGAGCTCTCTAGGATATAATTACAGGCTGGTCCCCCTGGGCTGGGTTGTGGCCCCTCCCTGGCCTGCCCAGACCCAGGTCCTTCTGTCAGGACCCTGGACCTGGGCCGAAGGACTGCAGCATACCTCCCTGACCCTGGCAGTGAGCAGGGCTTTGCGGAGCCTGCCGCACTCAGTGCCACAGCAGCCGGCGGGATCTCAGCGCTACTGTGCCTGAGGACGCAGCTCCTTCCCTCCCAGACTGCGGTCACTGTGAAACCTCAGGTGCCCAAGTCAGGGGTTCTGAGCCACACCCCATGGATTTGAAGGTGTCAGGGAGCTTTTATACCTTCTGATCCCCTGTAAGTTTCTTGAGAGCTTGAGGGCTTTTTGAAGAACTGGGCCAGGACACCAGACAGATGGATTGGGCTGAAGCTTCAGGTGTAAGGGAGGCACAGTCTCTGAACACACCCTGACTGTCCTCTGTATATGTGGTACCCACACATGTATATACATTTACACACTAAAATACCCCTACGCAGGCACACGTGGGCAACGTGTATACAGGTACCCGGGGTGCACACACACCTGGCATCCCCATGCCCTGGTGCCCTCAGGAGTATGGTCATATTCCTACACTGGCATATGGATAGTGCTGGCAGGGCGTGCACTCACACACACGATCAACATAGATCACCCACGTGTGAATACCTGCCTCTGCACCGTGCCTTCTGGGCACCTCTCCCGTCCCTCCAGGATTCTTTCTGACCCAGGATTCAGAGAACTGGGCTTGTCCTGAGCTGTGTTCAGCCCTCACAGCTACAGTCTTGCCCTACGGGACAGAGGTAAGACTAACCATGACTGAACTGCCTGTGTGGACAGGAGAGACCCGGCTCGTGAGCCGTGAAACCACTGGGGAGGGTGCGTCCTGTGAGGTGCAGGTTTGACACAAGTTTTTACAGAGCCAGTAAAGAAGCCGGGTCGTGCTCACAGGCATGAAGCGTTGCTCAGATGGTCGTGGTTGATGAGAGGAACCCTCAGTATGGATCCGCCTGGCAAGGGTTCAGATTCTGGCTGCAAGGTTCTCGGTGCTTTCATGACTGAGCAGATGACCTGTTCAGAGCCGCATTCACGCGTCTGTGAAGTAGCGGCTGGAGCAGCCTTACTAGGAATCGGAACCCCGGGACAAGCCCCCCGCCAAAGTCACAGACCACGCATTTCGGCCCAGAATGCCTGTGTCTGGCGAGGTCCAAGGGCATCCCTGAGCAACCCCGAAGCCATCTATCTGCACTGATCAACCCGGGCCTTCCAGAACCGCGGAGAGGGCGTCAGCTAGCGCCCTCCGCTGTCAGGCGGCTGCAGGACCGCGTGGGGGCGGTGCACGCTCCGGCTGTGGGAG